CCGAAAAACGTTCAACATTTCCCTTCTCGAAAGAGGTTGCACGAGAATATACTTGTCCTTGAAGTGTCGAACAGATTCCAGGTAAGATTTAAACAGCTTCCCATTTCCCTGTTTCACTTGTCGTCAACCTTGCTCCTTTGGAGATGGAAACAGTATAAGAACAAAGGAATGGTGGCCTATATCTTCAAATAATCATAGACAATCTTAAACGCTCGCATAAAAGTGATCCCGTTCGGATGGAGCTGAGAAGGAGCAATTCGAAGATGCCTGACAATGGCCACTTGGAAATTCGAGAAGGGAAGTCGAAGGACCATCTCCCGAAACACAATGTCATACATGGGGATCCAGCACTTATCATATTTCGAGCAGATCCGACTATCTTTCCCTAGAATCCAAAGCGACCACTCCCCCCGGATGTTATCATCATGCACATACACTTCAGTAAAAACCTCATCCTGGTGCTCGAAGAAGTAAGAAACCCAATCCCGAGGATCCTTCGTGACCTAGGCATGCATGTCCTTGTCATTCTCATGCGCAAACAGGCCACCCTGATCAGCGGAGGCCATCTCCACATCTTCTCCCCTTACTTATTGATCGTACTGGTTCAGCTCATCCTCGGATATCTTCAAGATGCTCGGCGTGCTACAAGTCTCGTTCATAGAACTTTGGGAAGATCCGGTCTGTCTATCCAAAAAATCATCTCCAACATTATCGGCCATAGTACCTGAAAAGCAGAGGATAGAGGTGAGGTCGGCATTAATATCAAAACCACCCTTCCACCATTACTCAAGTGAAAGGGCGCTGATAAACGAGGACCATGTCCCCGACCAGAACCCTCACTAAGGCATCTAAATGAACAACCACTTTCCCGAACTAGGCGAACTCCAATAAGCAAAACGACCTAAATCCTCAAAGATCATCTACAGCACGTCACAAAAATTTGGGGAGGATCCACGACGGCTCCAGAGATTCTAAACTTCAGAACCACCGTCTACCACCAACACTCCCCAAGAACACCCTAACAGACAGGATCCCAAGCCTAATCGCATGCATTTCTAAGAGGAAAATCGTGAAAATCTAGGCTACAACAGCTAAATAACAACGAAAATCTGGAATCTTACCAATTAAAGAAGGAAGGAAGTTGAAAGGAACGGCGAAGAACAATTAATCTTCAAGAAACAGCGGTGGTCGACAGGCGAGCAATAACGAGAAATGCAAGAGAAGAACGAAAAATGCAGAATTCCCTACTCCTCTCGTATTTATAGCTAAACTTGCCCCTCAGGTGAGAGTTACACACCTAGGGAACCGTAGCGTCATCGTCATTTCACCCTAGCCCCTAGCCATTGTGTCAGCATACTACCTCTTCAATTGTCGAAGCTCCAACGACCAACTAATCATCTCCTCGCGAGAAAGGCACAATGGGCGACGCTCACGCTCTACGTAAGAAGCACCCCTATTTCACGAGCAGGTGTTAAAGTAATCACTTTTGTGCCCATAAGCAACAACTTGGGGGGCTATTATTCTGGACTGGCCTAACGGCTAGAGTGGTCCCTATCTGACCTCCTCAATTGGCACGGCCCGTGCGACCACAACTCAGGCTCCCCCGCCCTCCGTCGGGCACCATCGATCATTGCCCTCCTGGACCAGCACTGACCTGCGACAATCGACGAGCGTCTCTTAGTCTGCCCGACCTCAAGTCGTCCAAACAATCAGGAACTGACCAGACCGTTCCCCGTAACCTGCTTCCTCCTTGGAACTAACGGCTAGTTGCGAGCATACCTGCCCGGTTTGACCAAGTCCTAACGGTTACCTATTTTTGTGAACCCGCATATCTAGGCCCAAAAATAGGGACCAATGGCCAAGTGCCAGAGGAACTATAAAAACCCTCACTCATGTGAGGGCCAGGTATCAAATATTGACTATTCATCACTAAAACCCTATTATTTTGCTTGTATCTCTTTTTGCTTCCACACTTACTTGATCGTCGGAGTGCTTTGTAGGTACAACCCCCTTTTTTCCTCCTCGACTTTCCAGCCCGTCTGAAGATCATTATCCAACCACCTTCCAGGTTCTGATCAACTGGTAAGATCAGGTTTATCATCAACAGGACTTCATTCCTCAATTTTAGTGTCTGGCTTACCGTGACAATCAGCTGCATAACGGCCAACTTGGCCACACACAAAACACTTGTCTTGTTGTCCAGGTAAAGTAATTACTTCTCCATCAAGCAATTAATCATTTGATATGTGAAAAATGTTTCCAATAGATACTATATATTGACATCAATGAGATAACTGAATCAACTGAGAAATTCAAGCATTAGAAACTAACCTCTCTCAATATTGAGAAGTGGACCTCATAAGTAGCTAAGGAAAGCATAATCAAATCAGCATCCTGGTTTAAAGATCATAAATATCATGCAAAAATCAAGGAAAGGATAAAAGCACCTTAAACAAATAAGACGAACATTAAAATGTGGACAAAATAAAACACACCAATCCATATAAATAATGGTGAGTATTCGGGTTAAAGCCAGGAACATTACATTGTAACCGGATGTATTCCATTATTTTACGTTCTCATTACCAGGAACATTTGAATCAGAAAGTATAACCTTCAAATAATTAATCATCCAATGCAACCCATAAATAAATATTTAGTCATCCAATGCAGCCCATAAATAAATATTTAGAGAAAGAGCATCCTAAAAGCCATATGTACAAGGGAGAAGAAAATATATAAGATTACTCCAGAAGAAAGGTATCATCCCATCTTTAAGGGATCAAGCCGCATAAAGAATTAATAAGATGTGGTTTCAATTGTTAGTATCTTTATATTTTTTTAGACGAGGTTGAGGTTCAACCTAGTATGTACATAAGACCGGAGAGCCAATGACAAAGCTGCCATAAACTTAGTACCATGGGTAATGACATTTCAGTATGAAGTCTTAGGCTTGTCTTTAGAAGACAAAGGTGTTTCCTCACCGTTGAATTCTTTCCTCAACCTGTCCTTTTCTGCTTCCTATAATGTTAAAAAAAATCTCAGTAACTTCATCACAAAAAGTAAGAGAACCTTGAAAGAATGAGCATATTAACATTCATATAGTCTCATCTGCATCTTTTGCAGCTCAGAAGCGCCGAGAACGTTGTTGATTCATTTTTTCTCATGAATAGATTCTGAAATCAAAACTGAGACCCAAAAGCAAACAATAATAACCGTTAACAAAATCAAAGAAATGCTAAAAAAACAACATCAACCAACAAAAAGTTTTAAAGGCATTTTCATATAGCAAACTTACAAATGGTTGACATAATAAACCTTGTTAACTACACAATCTCACCATAACCTGTTTCATAACTACAAAGATTAGTAAATGATAAACACTGAAAAATAAAACAAAAACGAAAGAAAAAATATGAACTTCCCTTGACATGAGGGATGTTTTGAGAAAATTGGGTTTCAGCAGCAACATAGTTGGCTTCTAGGATTTGCATGAGTGATTTCGTTAACAAAGTTATGTCTTCCGGAAGCCATTAAAAAAACCTTACACATAAAGCTATACGATAATATGTGAGTACAACACTGAAGACCAAATAAAAAACGGTATGAAATTGGAGATAAATTTGACCTATTTATATATACAAATTCATAAGAATTTCGCACAAATCAATAACACATAAAAAATAGAGTCAAATGATTACCAGAAAAAGAGAAATCATTGATGAGAGTATAAGTGAATCGACTGTTAGATGCATCTGAAAATATTGATGACGACATGCATCAAGTATTGGAAAAGAGAAATAATTGATTTGTTGAGGAACCGAAGTTGGAAGCAAAAGGAATGAAATCTTCTCATTGATTTATCGTGAAAGAGATTAGTAATGTGTCAGTTGGAATTTTCGACGGTGATGCATATACTATTGAAGTTGAATGGACACAACAAAGAGTTGATTACAAAAACTCAAAGAAAAATTGAATTTGAATGAAAATTTTCGCATGGTACATTAAGAAATTGCAAATTAGACTATTTGCCAATAAAAAATTGATACTTTATCATTAATTAATATTAAATATAAAGAAACAATAAAAAATAAACAATGAAATAATATTATAAATATTATTAATTATAAAAAAATTTAAAAATAACTTTTATATAAATAATTTGAGCTCTAAAAAATTGACACGCGGTAAAGTTGCCGAAAAACTCTTTTTATTTTATTCTATTTAATAGATATAGTAAATTTATCAATTAACAAATATATTTAAATAAATTAAGTTTATTTATGATATTTACCAAAGGTGTATCAAGAACTCCAAATCCAAAAATAGTCAAATAGAGACTTTTTAGAGTAATATTAAAAAATTTTATTTAATATTAAGGAACATATTCTTTTTCGTGAGAATCTATCTAGTGAAATCTTAGTCATTAGAAAGAGATCAATAAAATATATAAAAATGAGATGGATAAGTCAACACTTAATGATAAATACAAATGATAAATACAATTGAGAGAATCCATTCCCGACAATATTAAAACATATTTTAATTAATATATTGTTCCATAATATTTTAATATAAATATTTAATCATATTTTGCTATACTAATTTTATACAAGAACATTAAAAACCTCTAGTATGTTTTGTTTTCTTTATTTATGAAATGACCCTACAATATCAGTGTACAAAGTAAAAACCAACACAATCTTTAATTGTCAAAGAACTTAATTTCCAATGAAAAAAAGGAGTCAAATGAGTTAGACGACAATCTTTAATGTATCGGCAAAAATAAAAATATGAGTGTGTCTGTATCTAAATAATCCATTAGTAGCAAGCAATTAGACTCGGACACGTGTACTTGGTTGAGATATCCAATCTTATTTTGTAACGGTTCGTATCGTTATAAAAAGCTCCAAAAGCCACTCAATATTTCACACTCATCTTCTCACTCACTCACTCTACAATTTACAAACCAAATTCAAAAAAATCAAAACACGGAATCAATGGACATACTATCTAATCCAGAGTTCATTGAGTTGATTCCCGGGTTACCGAGCGAACTCGGGCTAGAGTGCCTCACTCGTTTACATCACTCAGCACACCGAGTCGCGCTCCGTGTCTGCAACCAGTGGCGACACTTGTTTCAGAGTGATGACTTTTACTGTCACAGGAAAAAAACCGGTCGCGCCAGAAAGGTTGCTTGTTTGGTTCAAGCCCGTGAACAGCACGCTGAAGTGGAAAAATCGTCAACGCCACCGAGTTACGATATCACTGTTTTTGATCCGGAGAGTATGTCATGGGATCGGGTTGACCCGGTTCCGGAGTACTCTCTCGGGTTGCCGTTGTTCTGTCAGTTAATTAGCTGCGAAGGGAACCTCGTGGTTATGGGTGGATGGAACCCAACGAGTTACGAACCTTTGACAGCGGTGTTCGTTTACGATTTCCGAACGAACATGTGGAGAAGAGGGAATGATATGCCGGAGAAGCGTTCGTTCTTTGCTACTGGATCGGGTCAGGGTCGGGTTTATGTTGCCGGTGGACACGATGAGAATAAGAACGCCTTGAAAACTGCTTGGACTTATGACCCGAGGAGCGATGAATGGACGGCGTTGGCTCCGATGAATCAGGAACGAGACGAATGTGAAGGAGTGGCTGTCGGCGGCGAGTTCTGGGTGGTCAGCGGCTACGCTACGGAGAGTCAAGGGATGTTTGATGACTCGGCGGAAGTGTTGGATATCGGGTCGGGCCAATGGAGAAAAGCTGAAGGTGTGTGGGAATCGGGTCGGTGCCCCAGATCGTGTGTCGATATTCGTGAAAATGGGAGAGTGGTGGATCCGGGGCTCCGAATTGGAGTTTGCAGTGTTAGGGTCGGATCGAAGAACTTCGTGACTGGATCCGAAAACGAAGGAGCACCGTATGGGTTTTATTTGGTAGAAAATGACGAAGGGCAAAAGCGTAAATTAAATAAGATAAATAATGTTCCAGAAGGTTATTCTGGGTTTGTTCAATCAGGATGCTGTGTTGAAATCTAATATAAACCGTTAGATTTGGAAAAGGAAAATATCTCTCTTAATCTAGTATATAATTTTTTATGAATGGTTTCGCAGTGAACTTATTAGTATTAGAATTATAACTTATCACAATTTTACTATATTGTACTTAAACAAAATCATGGTACCGCAGTGATTTTTGAAATTTTCTACAAATCAACTTATGTTGGTCTATCTATGTTTGCAGGATATATTAGAATTTTGCTTTTTTAGTGTGCTAATTTTGAAACTATTATAGATTGTCTTTTTCTTGCTTTATTTTATATTATTTATATAACAAAATCTTAACGAATAAAGTGTTTCTACATAGAAGTGAGCAATTTGTTTGTTATTCATAAAAACAAATACCCGAAAATGCCAAAATTGATAGTAACATGAATTCATTATTAGGTAGGTACATTGGTGAAAATGTGCTGCTGATTCACCCTTAGTCTTGAATTAATTAAAGGATAATCAAACATGTAAGTTACGTGTGTTTGCGGAACATGTCAATACCTCTGCTTTGCAAAAGATTGGACTCGTCATTTTACAACACACTAACTATTTGGATTATTTGATGCAACTTTTTGATATACAAAACGTATTGTAAAAGAGAAGGGAAACTCAATGTCACTATCGCTGGACGGTGGTGGAGGCAGAGGTTTATCGTTAAGGAGTCTATAACCAAAGAGAACCAATAACTCATTCGCACGACACATATTAAATGTCAAGTGTGAGTATTTGTAAAGACGTTATTTAAAAGAGAATGTGTCATAAAAAGATTACTAAGTTTAGTAGTGTATTAATTTGCTTTCTTTAATATTTTGCAGTACTATCTAAGTTGGACAAATAAATTCTCAATCACAATTGCGTATAACTAAAGGAGTTTAATTACTTTTGAAAACTGAGTTAGAATTGACTTAAAAACGGTTAGAAAAGCTAGTTAATAATTCATATTGTGCACATACATACTAACTGTTTTGAACAGTCTACAAGCTCAGAGACAAAAGGCTTAAGTGCAGACTTAAAGAAATAAATCTGAGTAACAAGTGTTCCTTCATGCTCATTCAAAGTAGATGAGTTCGTCCTTTGATGCAATATCCACCGTTCCAATCAATCAGACGACACTCAACATAGTCAGCTGCATCTTTTGTAGATGATTTTAACCGCTTCTAGTATATAAAGAAAAAAGTTTGTCACTCTCAAGTATTCAAATTTATTTTGACTTTCATATCACTTTGATTCTCTTACTAACTTGAGCATTTGAGTGTTAACTTTTCAAATCTACTAATGTGCTGTCGTACCGAAAGTCTAGTGTATTTTTCACGATATATTTCACCATTTCCACTATAATTATGGTTCCATATTGGAACAATGGGGCCTATGAGAATCGTCCTCTGACTCCCGCGAATATCTTTGAAGAATTACAATTTCGTCCATTAGAGATCCAGATCTCTGATCTTCGTTCGTTGAATCATCGATCTCTTTTTTCGTAGAGCTTGATATCAACTTGTTGGGTGGGATTTTCATACAGAGAGAAATCCAAACCAAAAGTCAAAAAAAGTCTTTTAAGAGCATTAAAGAGCATTAGATTTTGAGGAGTCGACTACCAAAGCATGTCGATCATGGTTGATTTCACAGGCAGACGACTAAGGTTTTGTAAGCGCAGTCGACTAGAGAAAAGTTCATGGTGAATGGATTGGGCCCAGAGAGGTGAGAAGCCCAAAAGAGTAAAAAGGCCCATAAGCGCCTAAACTGTAAAGGCGAAACGTTATGGAGGGAGAACGTGAGTTCGACCACAATGGATAACATGGGTTCACAAAAAAAAATTACAATAGAGAACATGGGTTCATGAGGGAAAGTTACGAAGAACACGTGGCATGCAAGGAAACGAAGTCCACTTAGAAAGTAGTTATTTTTGTGTATTATAAATAAAGCACTTAGTGCACTTTTGTGAAAGGTCAAACTTTTCACATTCTTGCACGCTAGTCACTAAAAGTAATCAAGCGAACGAGTGAAATTAGTCAGGCAACGACAATATATGTTTGAACCAACCTATTTTACAACTTTCTTTAATGTTATGTCATTATCTTTTACAATTTAAAATGCTTTTTCGTTTCCTTTACTTCGTCTTTTTGTCCTTATCTTTTGCGATTTAAATACGTTTGGCTCCCATTCGAACACACCCTTTTTGAAAACATTTTAACTACGCACGCAAACTGAAGCACTGCTCCGAGATTCCCTAGTCGATCTCGCACGTAAACTTATTTTCAAGAGACCATCATTGTTTACCAAATCCAAGAGCAAACAAATTGGTACGCCTAGTGGGACCGTGCTAATATTTTTGCGTGCAGTTTCACAAAGTTCTTATAGTTAGTATGTGTATGAATTTAATGAGTGATAAACTTTTGTCTAAGTTTAGAATGCCACTCTATGACACAAACATTACATACACGCAGATTTCTACACAAAATATAGATGTTATACCAGTAAGTACCACAACTCAAAGCACGACAATTTTATCTCCCGTAAGATCGACCACAGTGTCTGGTTCAGTGAAAACAGTCACAATGACAGAACCTAGGCATGGGGTATCACCATTTGACCCAAATCAATCACTCTTTCCAGGGGGTCCAGGGTCATCATTTGTCCATCAACAATATGTATGCCTTATTCCATGATGGTTGGGTTACAGTTGAATCCTGCCACATATACAGAAAAGCAGTTGCCACTGGAAAGCAAGGCAGTTATGCCTCAAGTGGTCGACTAGATGGTGTTAGTTATGTCCAGCAGTCGATGCCATCTTTGAATACTACATCCGTTATGGCTTTAAGGCAACAAATGGATGAAAGTAATTTAGAGTTAGTAAACGTCTTAACCCAACAAATGAGAGTTGTCCTAAACCCTTTAGTTGACCAAATAGGTAGATTGATTGACTCATTAGGGGTCCAACCAACCCAAACTCAGACGCGCCATAGGTAATTATTCCATAGAGTCTGAGGATGAATACATGGAAGAAGGAGAGGTTAATATGGTTGAATTTAAAGATGGGCCTCCATATGCATGTAAACCTATAAGACCGTCTACGGGAAAGACGATTGAAGGTACAAAGAGTGATAACATTAATACTAAAACATATATTTTTGATGTGTCAAAATGTGATAAAATATTTGATGTTTTAGTTTTAGATTGTCAGATTATAGTGCCCCCAGGCACTAAGGATCCACCATTAGAACAAAAGCAAAAAAGGAGTTTTTGCAAATATCATAACTTTTGGGTCATAATACTTCTCAATGTTTTCTTTTTAGGAATTTGATTCAAAAGGCTTTGAAGGATGTTTGACTGAAATTTGGTGAGAAACCAAAAACCATGAAGACCGACTCTGATCCCTTGCATGTGGCTGATGCACACTATGTGGAGCCATTTGAAGTGCTGATGATAGAGGCTATTGAGGGCCTCATGGACGAACAGGTAGACACTATCAACTCGCTAGCAACATTGACGATCAAGGATACCGATGGTCTTGAAGACGAACTGGGTTTGGCTACAGCAGTCGAGACTACTGAGGGTCTCAAAGGTGGCAATGACAATCTGTCTAAGCCACATGAAGTGATGATAGTTGATTTTGCTGAAAAGCCTGAAGGTGATCAGGACGACAAAGAAAAGATCGACTGCAAGGATGAAGAGTTGTTTGAGGAAATAATGGTTGAATTAATGAAGGTCGTGTTTCCTAAACCTGAAGAGGAGTTGATATAATTTCTTAACAGGTGTAAATTGAGTAACTCTAGATCCATGTTATGCCCAAACTGTAACATGATCAATGACGAAGAAGCTACAAAAAATATCGAGGCGTTGAAGAAAAAGCACCATCAAGGAAACAACCCAAAATTGGTGTTTGACCATGCTAAGGGGCCAAAAAATGTTCAAGTGCCGTGAGAGAAACCCAAGTTCTCATATCTGAGAACTTTTGTGCCACCAACTGATGTGCCCAACAATAACTGAGTTCGTCCCTTTCATCCTAGGGGGCAAACCAAAACTGGAAGATGGTAAAAAATGGGCCAGGTTCGACCCACAAATGGGAGATGATGGAAAAGGAATATAGTTTGACTCAACTTGCTGAGACAGGGATCATACCAAAGAAATACCATGTTCCTCTCACATGCAAAGGGAAGAATCCTATGACAAGAGCTTAATGGAAGAGGTTTTAGAGGAACAATAAAGCGGTAAGAGAGGCTGCAACAAAATTTGTTCCACAGTAGAGGAATGAGAAAGCTATGATAGATGCTACAATAGAGGTTGTTCCACAAAAGGGAAAAAGCGCCCAAAAGGAAATACAACATCGACCTCCCAAAGAAAGGTTGTCGATGCCAGTTACGAATGAGTCGCCAACAAAGGTTGAAGATCTTGGTGACGAAAACATGGATAATGAAGTATTAGATGACTTTGAAGACAGTTTAGAGGACGGTTTGATAATTCACTGCAACATTGTATCGGTTTTTCCCAATGAATATGGGTTTGCCTCAGAGGCATCTAGGATGATGAAGAAGACATGTATGCAGAATCAGCAGGTCAAAAACCTCTATGTTATTATGTCATGAACAATGGGGTGGCAGAAGAGAAACATGCAACGTTTGAGAAACCTACAGCTGACATGATGTATCATCTCAAACCTCTATTCATAAGGGTTAAGGTTGATGGATTCCCTGTGAATAAAGTGTTTGTTTATGGTGGCGCTGTTGTTAATTTGATGCCACAATCATTGTTGACAAAGATTGGTAAGTTCGACACAGACCTTAAAATACATAATATGGTCATGTCGAACTATGAAATAAAGACAATTCATATCTTGGGTGTGATTCAAGTAAATTTGTCAGTTGGCTCGACCTCGAGGTAGACGTTATTTATGGTGATAACGTCCAAGGAAAATTTCAACCTGTTGTTGGGGCGCGAATGGATACATGGAATAGGGGTGGTGCTATCGACCCTACATCAGCGTGTGTCCA